ATTTTGTAAGATACGCCTTTTGACACTCGGCTCATATCTGAGGTCATTTTCCGTTTTTCTCAATCGATTTAGCACGTACTATATCGTCTATTCACCTATTAGCGAGAAGTCGCGCTTATTATGCTATATTCCCAAAAGACACAGGCTTAGTTTTCTACGTGTTTTTCATGACGAGCACGAGCTAATAACCATAATAAGCTAAAACGACCTAATTTTAAAACATTTTTGAGTCCCCGGTCTTACGCAATTTGTTCAGAAGTATAATTCCAACTGTTTGATTTTTGTTTGTAATAAACGTGTCCCGAGAGCTCCTCGCCAACCTACTATGTCATGGGATAGGTCTGAAGTCCAAGTCGACGTAATAGGTCGCTTACCTGAGTCTAACGGTTATAAATTTTTACTTATTTTAGTTGACTCATTTACTAAATTTTGCTTACTCTATCCTACGTACAGACCAGTAGTAAAGCCTCCATAAAAGCCGAGAAGCCGGGCTTACCTTATCAAACTGAATCAATCAATAATATCAACTAATAAAATAACTCGTAAACTGTTTCAAACGATTACAATTTTCCCTCGCGCTCCTCTGTTCGACACAGGTCATAACCTTGGATTGCCTTAGCGAATCTGCTGCTGTCATAAAAATGAGTTTTAATTGAGCGATTAGTCGTCTCTCTTGCACGCATGGGCCTTTTACGAGGCTTTGGAGAACACGATCGCTCCCTTTCTAACCTATGGCAAAATGTTCTATAGTGAAGTACAACTACGTTTGTATAAATAGCAATTAGTATAGAGAGAAAAAGCCAAGTTTTAGGAATAAAGTTGTAGAGAGCGGAGGCGCACGGGCGTTATACGTTAAAAGGCGTTATTCGTTAAATACGTTTGCAATTTCACTTCACATTTCAGTGTTTATTTACTCTGTGTGTTTAGCTTAAGCGATTTAATGTTGCGAGTTCAAAATTTATGCTTTTTTAAAGATTTTTAGTGAAAATGGAGTCTAATATTAATCCTTGTGATGTATGGTGGTATCTTCCTACCCCTTCTTATCTTTATGCGGAAGGATTCACGTCAACTTGAAGACCCTTTCCGAGGCTGAAACATACCGATACCTGGGTATGTCGCAGAACATCGGTATCGATGAGGCTAGGACGAAACATTCAGCTTGCGACGTGTTTTATGCACGCTTGACCAAGGTACTGAACAGCCTTTTGTTCGGTGTGAATAAGACACACGCTTATAATGGTTGGGTCATGCCTGTCCTCATGTATACCTTTGGCTTACTCAGGTGGACCTAGACTGAACTTTTTTGTTATCGTGTAAGTGAATTTGTGTTATTTTATTCATTTGTCATGAATCATCTTATGATGGAAGATGATGGATAGTACTTTATTACAAATTAATTTGTCACTCGAGTGTGTGTTTGTGTGTGTGTGTGTGTGTGTGTGTGTGTGTGTGTGTGTATGTGTGTGTGTGTGTGTGTGTGTGTGTGTGTGTGTGTGTGCGTGTGTATGTATATGTGCGCGCGTGTGTTTGTATGTGTGTGTGTGTGTGTGTTTGTGTCTGTGTTTGTGTGCGTGCGCGCGTGCGCGCGCTCGTGTGTGTGTGTGTCTATATTTATGTGAGTGCGCGAGAGCGCGCGTGTGTGTATGCGCGTGCGTGTGCGTGCGTGCGGGTTTGTGTGCGTGCGTGTGTGTTCGTCGGAGTGCGTGTTTGTGTGTGTATGTGTGTGTGTGTGTGTGTGCGCCCAGAAAACGGAGGCGGAGAATGGAGACATGGTGGAGGCGGAGGTGAATGCAGCGTAGTATGTGGTGAAGGCGGAGGAGAGGAATTTGTGGTGAAGTCTTAGATAGTGGAAACGGGGAATTGTGTTGGAGGCGGAAAGAATAGTGACGGCGCGTGGTGGTGGCGGCGGAAGGAGCGGAGTTTATTGTTGAGGCGGATGGAGCAGAGTTTATGGTGGAGGCGAAGGTAACGGAGGTGAAGAACGAAGGCTTAGAGAGGGGTGCGGTGGTAGATGTGGAGGCGTAGGTGGCAGTGGTAGTAGTGGGTGCACTGGAGTGCAGTAAAGTGGGTACCGCGTGAGGGCAAGTGAGGCTCATATAAAGAACTGTTGGTTACAGCGAAAAACAGTATGGCTGGTAAGTGGATATCGATACTGCCCCTAAAGATGTTACCACGAGGTTATTCATTTTTCCGAATATCAGCTTGGATACCTATTGGTACTAGAGACAAAGTGAAAACAACTTTTGTTTTGTGGCGGTTTCATCATAACTAACAAAACGAGCCCAAACTCAGCACACCCAGTTCTACTAGTCCAGGAGTTCCACAAGTAATCCCGAATTACATTTTGAGGTCACTCCATCAAGCCCGGAGGTAAGGTCTCATGATAATATCTCATGTAATAGTTCGATTCTATACCTATCAATTTTGTAAACGCGTCCTTAAAAATCTTGATTATGAAGATGTAGAATGTTAACTGGTTTATGGTAAACACACACACACACACACACACAAACACGCAAGCGCGCGCGCAAACATGCACACACACACACAGCACGTACACATACGCACACGCACACATACGCACACGCACACATATGCACACACACACACACATACACACACACACACACACACACACACACACACACACACACACACACACACACACACACACACACACACACACACACACAAACAAACACACACACACACACACACACACACACACACACACACACACACACACACACACACGCACGCACGCACGCACGCAAACACGCACTCAGACGAATACCTTATGTCGCCGTTGCCACCACTTCCGCTACAAGAAGGGGCGTTGCCGAGTAATTCGTTAAAAAAAAAGTCTTTTATTTCGACCACAAGGATCATAGATGTTAGTAATAATACAAATCTTAAAACTATTTACCTAATTTTAAAACTATATATATAACAGGCCCGATTAGTGAGCACGTGCACCATATGACAATGGTTCAGGTACTGACCTCAAACCTGTCAGAAAATGCACCTGAACTGGCCCGCACCCTGCGCGCCAGGGATGTGCATCGTTTACGCATGGTGGTGTAGAAACAATCCACACGCGCATCCGCGAACATACCCGGCGCATTACAATAACGAGACAGACTCAACAGCATGTATTATTACATAACACGCATTTAATCTGTAGTTTGTACCGCCAAAGATACGAAACGGCAACGTCGCGGCTGCATTCAGCCAATCTGATCGTTTATCTTATCGTTTGCTGTGCTCTGATTGGCTCATTTAAATCGGATCAACATTTTCCGTAACCATCGCAAGGTGGATTTGTATATCGGATCAACTTCGGCCAACGCTAGCAGTCTCGTGAGTGCAGATGTTGATCCGGTCGAAGCCACATTAGTTACCAGAGATGCATATTGGATCAACAAAAGGCGCCGGTACAAATTGAATAAAACTATTTATAATATATATATATATATATATATATATATATATATATATATATATATATATATATATATATTAATAGTTTTATTCAATTTGTAGCGCTCGCGTAAAGTTAAGAAATATTTATACAGCAATTAATTTATAACTATATCGCACTCTTAGTGCAACAGTGACCGAATTCAATATTTGTCAGTTTTTAGTTACGGTCAAAAACTGACCTTGTAAACGGAGCTCTACAATGTGACATTTACAAAACACCTCTATTTCTGCGGATTTAAGAGATAACTTTTTTTGTGTCGTTGTTTCACTACGGTCCTCGCTTCCCCTCTTGGATGCAACACCGACGCATACATTGTTGCGTCCGTAGTCGTACGAGGAGGTTCTGTCTAACGTTGGCTTATTTTGAGATACGTCGTTGTTGCACAAAAATCGAGGTAAGTATCATTTAAAGATTTTTTCAGAATATTGACTGATTTCAAGATAGGTCGTTATTGTACAAAACATTCAATAGAAATATTGACCTATTTCGTTTTTGGACAGTATAAAATTAAAATGTTGAATAATTTTATGAGACGATTAGAATTAAGTCATTGTTGTTTTAAAAACATGCGAGATTTTTTATCTTATGTAATAATAAGTCACTATTTGTTAAATTTACTACAAAATTAAATGACTTATATAAAGTAATGTCAGTTTAGGATTAAAAATGTTTAAAAAAAATTAAGTTTTGTATGTTAATAAGTTCTGTAAAAAAAGGTACTTCATAGCTTATTGCACGTTTTTATTATTACAGATAATAAAACAGCATACATATTCCAACATGGAAAAACGGAGAATGACAGAAATATTTAAGAACCTTTCCTCTAAGGAAAGTTTAAATGAAAAATTGGTAAGTAAATTAGGTTTTTTACATGTGGACCTTGGGGTGGCGGTGAAGAAAGGCAGTGTATCCCTTTTACACTTCCTTTATTCTTCTTTTATTATTATTTTAATTGTATTGATATTAAAACATCCTTTTAGATATGAAATTGTTTTCTTCGTGACGCTATAGTACTTTTTTTTCATTCAAAGGGCATACAATGGAATAAATAGAAAAGTAAGACGCCGATTCAGCGATGATAAGTTGGCGTCAGTCAGACGTCGGCTACAGTTCAACAATAATCCACTGTCGTCGGTACCACAAGAGACAACTTCTGAAAAATACCTTATTGAAAACAACAACAATAATATTCAGCAGGAAAATGACGTTGGTGACCACAATAACTATTCTTCGGTTACAATTTGTTCTAAAGACGAAAATTTATATAAACAGCAGCAATATACTATTTATACACAAGAAGACTTCACTTTATGTTCTTTTCCAATTATTTCATCTAGGGATAAATCTTTGCGAAAATCGCGTTCATGTAAGAAAAATTATGTAATTTCGCCAATTAACTCTGGTGAAAGTGACGCCGATCTAAGCGACTCGGACCCAACTTACACAACATGTGATCTGAAGGAAATAAAACGGAGCAAAACTGATCTTTTATTTAACAAAAATGACATTAACATGTCTAAGTCAAGTTCAAGTTCTCAGTCGAGTCCAATACCTCAGCCGGGTCCAAATTTTCAATCGCATCAAAGTCCTCGGCCGGGTCAAAGTTTCCAGCCGTTTCCAAGTCCTCAGCCGTGTCCAAGTCCTCAGTCGGGTCCAAGTTCTCAATGCATTCGAAGTCCTCAACCGGGTCCAAGTTTTCAGTCGTGTTCAAGTCCTCAACCAGGTCCAAATTCTCAAATAGTTTCTAAACAGGCCAATAAAAAAAATAAAAAGGGAGATCCTCAGTTTTGGAAAAGCAATTTGGCGAAAAAACAAAGAAATACCGGCCATGCTTATATTTCTGTTACATCTAAAAAAAGAAATTCAAGCTCGTACTATAAAACCACCGTGTAATGAAAAATGCAGATTAAAATGTTCAATGTCTATTTCTGAACAAGAACGAAAACACATATTTAACAAATTTTGGAGTTTGGGTGATCTACAAAGAATGTATTTAAAGAGCTGTATGCTAGAAGTTCATCCTAAATATAAATACACCTTAACAGAAAATCCAAGGAAGCCAAATTTTGCCTTTTATATAAAATTGCAGAATGACAATAAGAAAAAAGTTTGCAAAACTTTTTTTATTAATATCTTTGGCGTTACTGATAGAATGCTTCGTACTATAAAAGATGATTGAAGATAAACGCGGTAAACATGGAAAACAAAAAAAAACTTAATTTGAATTTAAAACAAGATATAATTAATTTTATTGACAATATTCCCCGTTTGGAATCTCATTTTACTAGAGCCACGTCATCTTGTGAGTATATAAATTCGAACAAAACCATAACAGACATTTATCAAGACTTTGTTGAGGCTCAAGACGGCAAACCAAACGGCAAACCATACGGAAAATTTTGCAATTTTTGTCAATTATTTAAATAATCTGGCTTGAAAATGGAGCAACCGAAAAAAGATCTTTGTGTCATTTGCAGCAACTATAGATTAAACCCTGACCTGAACCTAAAAGAAGAATACGAAATGCATTTGGAAGAAAAAGATTTGTCAAAACAGGAAAAAACAAAAAGACAGATACGCTATTAATAACACAAACATATGTGCCATTTACGATTTACAAGCTATTTTACAGGTGCCAGACGGTAACTGCAGCAGTTTTTATTATTCAACTAGATTAAATTGTTATAATTTCACAATTGCTGAGCTAGCGAAAAAAACTTAGTTGAGGAAGACAGTAATAGGGCATATACAGACGTACAATGCTATTTTTGGGATGAGACCCAAGGACAAAAATGTTCTGTTGAATTGGTACTTAAATGCAATTAATGAGAGGAATACGAATAAATCCGTCAATGTTATATTTTATTCCGACAATTGCTGTGGCCAAAACAAAAATAAATACATTGCTACATTGTATATGTATGCCTTGGCTAACTTTGAAAACATTGAGACAATAACTCATAAATTTCTCATAAAAGGACACACACAAAATGAAAACGATAATGTACACAGCCTGATAGAAAAAGAAAAGAAAAAATACTTGAGAGCTGACAATATTTACATTCCTCAACAGTACGTTACGCTTATTCAAAATGCGAAAAAAAAAGGAAGTAAATTTAAAGTTCACACATTGACCTATGATGATTTCATCGACTTAAAATCTCTACAAAATCAATGGGGTGTCAACTATAATAAAAATTCTGAAAAGAGTCAAGTATGTTGGAACGATATAAAAATAATTCGATTTCAAAAAGATAAACCTTTACATTTTTACTACAAAACTTCATATAAAGATAAAGAATACAAAGAGGTTAACGTAAGATATAATGTGCGTAAAAGTTTGCCATCAATTGAAAATTTTGTCCTTGAGAAGGCTTATAGCAAAAAGTTTGAGCTTGATGACAGAAAGAAAAAAGACTTTGAAACTCTTATTTCAAAAAATGTTGTGCCGCCGTATTTTTTCCAGATATTATACAGATGTATTTTAAAAATGTTATTTGTCATAACTTTATTTAATTATATAAATACAGAGTACTTATTAGACGTAGTTTTCCTAAAACACATACCCATGGACTTAAGCCAATATTTCCAAAAAACTTTTCTTGGGAATTTAAGTTCATTCCCGAGAAGTTTTGTTGGAAAAGTTGCTCAAAACGCTGGTCCAAGTCCATGGTTTTAGTTTTCGGAAAGCTGTCACTTTACATGCTAAATAATTTTTTATCTTTAACTTTTTTTCTCAAATTTGTGCATTTTAAATAATTAAAAATATATAAAACATGCAAAAGTATTTCATTCCTACCTTAAATTATTAACAGGTAAATCATAATATGAATGTAATAATTTAATAGTATACAGACGTAAGTTTTAATGAGTGGATTTTACAACCGCATATTTTTATACAATAAAAACTTATTTCTCATTAGGTCAATCTTAGCGTACAAAAATTAATACAATACTGACTTATTTTGAATTCGATCATTATTAAGTGTGATTGTTTTGTTTAACAACGACTTATCTTTGAAAGACTGCTTTCTTAATTTACAGAATAACTGATTATTAAAAACAAAAACATTTTATGTCATAGTAAAGAACACATTTCAAAGATTTTAACAATAGAACTCCGGTTAACGAGCTACTAGAAATATTCATTTTATAGTTAATTGAAAAAAAATATTTGAAATGCAATTACATTTTCGTTGATTCCCAAAAGTAGCCAATTTTGAGTTCGGTCACTATTGTATTAAGAGTGCGATATAAAGATAATATAAAAACAGTAGGTAATTACGCTTTAAAGATAACTGCAGGTGTCCGTGGACTGCAATAAACATTAACAATCAGATGGACTGTAAGTTTGTTTGTTACTTAAAATTTATAAAAATTTCTATAAAAACTTTCGATACCATTTGTGAGTTGATACCGCGTAATCGTACAGTCGAAAATTCGATATGTTAAACATTCATGCATTTTTAACCTTGGACTTTAAAACATAACGTCATTTACATTTCAACACTTTTTCGATGCTCAACGAATGTTCAGAAATTCATTAATGCCTTTAATTACATATACCTACCACGTAAATAGGAAGTAAAAGATATATTTTACTCTATGAATAATTTCCACAGTACGCGAGCAACCCGAGATGGAAAGCCAACAGCATAAATTAAGTTGAAATAATAATTTTATGTTCAGATTTACCACGTAATAACCGGGGAAAGATATTATGAGAAAACTTATAGGTCTAAGGAATAATATATTTTCAATGACATGTGAAATCAGCCAACACGCACTAAATTCGTGCGGTAAACTAATTGCTTTGTAAGCTAAACCTGTACCCTGCCGTGGGACTTATTTTAAATAAAACTATTTTTTACGCATTTTATCACGTATATTAACTTATTTTATATTCCCGACGTTTCGAGCACTTAGAGCACCCCTGGTCACGAGGGAACTGAGAGGTCTTCGACGTCCCAAAGTCATAATTAACTACGGCTATCTCCAGATTAATTTTATAAACTTTTGTTCCGATCTACGTAGTATGAACTTATAGTATCTTGAAGTCTTGCTTCTATTCTTATTATTCATAGTGTAACGCTCCCCCCCCCCGTCTCTGTATAAAGATAATATTATATTAAATATAATTAATATAATTAATTTACCCCTCTTCGATAAAAATTATATATATGTGACCAGGATAAATAAGATATGTTTTGATCTTTCTAAATGATCTTTCAAAAGGTTTAATAATATATTGGCCGTTTGTAATATTTTGGCGTGATCGTCTTAGTTAGGACCCTTATTTACGTTGTATTTGTTTATTTACTTAGTTCTTTTAGATGTATTTCGGAAGAATGAATATTCACTAGACTAATTAAAAGCCGTTGGTAGTGCCTTATAAACTAAGTGAACCCCGTTCACGAAGACAGGGCTCGAGAAAGGTTAAGAACATAAAATGTCCCTATTCCACTTGTATCAGGTTTACATTATAAATTTATTATTAATTATCCCTTCCCGCTCGGAAAAGGCTCAAAATATATTTATACAAATACCCGATACAAGGGCTTGGCTCTCTTACATTCATTTAAAAAAATGTAGGGGAGCACACGGCCCCACACACGCCGTGCACGGTGAGCGCCAACCATTTTGATACACTCCCCCCCGAAGCGAACGCTAATTCGGGAACTGGTCCGTAGTCCACAGCAAAATAACTGGCGAACCAATAAAAGAAGCTTGGCCCCTTGTTAGTGCGTAAGCACAAACATCGATCGAAGTCGCGATGTCAATGCGTATAAACACCATACAGAATACGAACGAATCCAGCCACAGTGAATGTACGTCACACGGTTCAGGCAAATAGGCACTCTGGCCGTAAACCCTCCGTGAGCGCCACCACCTGCCAGACCGCCGCTCCTGCAGACGTGATGTAAGTGTATGGTATCACCAGCAGTTGCATGATTAGCATGGCTACTAGCCGCAGAGCGTGTCATGAGTTTACCGCTCACCTCAAGGGAATGGGGTCCCACGTTGTGCGGCTTTCGGCCGCAGCCTTGAGAGTCTCCTCAGATCCCCCGACCAGCTACCACCCGCATGAGGTCGACACATATGCTCCACCATCCACGGCAACGGCAGATATAGCCAAAAGGCAGTTATAAGTTGTTAGTAATAATTTGCCATCAGAAAGGTTTTGTGTCACTGACGTTGAGTAAATGCATTTTCGATCATGTTTGTCTCACCCACCAACAAGTTGCCTTCAATCATTCAAAGGTGGGAAATTTACAGAGATATATTGTTATGTTGTTATATAAAACATCGTTGAGGGCAGACAGTCTGCAGCCCCGTAATGAAGGGACCCGACTTGGGCAAAGCTACTTAGGTGTGAGTCAAACCAAGACGCAGAGAGCGCCATTGGGAATAGCATCCACCAAACAACCATCGCAGAGACGCAATGCTGCAGAACGCAACAAGCATCAATACGACTATCGTCGGGCTTACACCATCCCAAAGTCCCCCGTACAGCCCGGCAGACATCACCACCCACATACCTCCATCGACCAGAACCACAAGTGAGCGTCGAATCAGGCGCAGAATACCCGCAGATCCATCACAAGACGCAATACCGCAAGTAGCAGTAAGCATCAATGCAACTATCATACGGATGGCGCCCCCCTCACAACACACCCACATGATCCCTATCGACTTTGGTAACAAAGTTTGTATTGTTGTTAACTAAAAAATATCACCAACGTATCATAGTAGCACGATACTAAGACGCCAGTGAACAAAACTCCACGTATCATAGCGCTAATGCAATAAGACATGAAGTTGAGTATGCCTGTTACACTTAAAAGTGCTACCAAACACACTCATCATCCCAATCCGAAAGATAGACGACGCATCGCTATGCGCTACGACGTCGCCCACAAACGGTATGGGTGTGCGATGTCCACGGGAAAGCCGTATTGCTACAACAAACTCGCTTACCACCAGCACTAAGATGATTGTCTAGGACACATCGGTTAGCGAGTCCAAGTTTACCTCGGACTAATTGCTCGTGAAGCAGCATACACGCCACCATAATATTCCTTTTCAAGTCCCTAATAAGGGACTAGTCATTTTGCTACAGTACTAGGAGCAGTCGGTCACCCAACCACCCCATACAATGCTTATGTATCAAGGAGACCTTCTATAATAATACTTTTGTATCATAGACCTTACTTTCATAAGTCATTCATATATAGGGCTCGAACCCACGACCCTACTATTGTAATGCAAATTCATCATAGAGACCTTCTATAGTATTGCTTTTGTATCATTGAGTTTAATATCATAAGTCCCTAATATAGGACTAGTCATTGTGCTACAGTACTTCAAGCAGTCGGGCTCCCGACCACCCCATATATATTATGTACAACTGCAGGCATGTATCTCCGGCAGCTCCTCCATACAAGACATCTTACATGAACACCTTCCATAACTTAGGAATATTTTCTTTTATACATGAACTCCTTCCACAAATTAGACAATTTTTAACAAATTTTCTAATTATAAACGTTATTTATCTTTACTTTTATTATATTTTCAACTTGTATTTCTATTGTTTATCATGTTTTAAATATTTTTACAAGTTTTTATAATAAATTTATTTATTATAGAAGACAATATTTTTGCCTTTAATTTACTATGTTATTGGTTTAATGTCTGAAATGTATTTATATTTATTATTATTTTATATATATTTTAAGAATAATTTTGATGCCCCTTTATATTGAATTTAATTATTAATAATAAAATTGGGCCGTCACAATTGGAAGGAATTGGTGTTCTTTAGCGAGGATTTGTGATCTATTAAATGTGATGTAGTGACGGGGGCAATCCTGTACGTGTTCACAAACTGCAGACTTCTCGGACCGTCGATTCTTCACATCAGCTATGTGTTCTTTGACGCGGGTTTTTATTGGTCTTTTAGTTTGTCCTAGTAAGAGAGACCACATTCACAAGGAAGCTTGTATACTCGCACATCTTACAGAGGGACATTACACTTGAATACATATTAGACAGATGTATTTTATATTTATAGGGCTGATTTTTTTCACCTCACTTTTACATTGTAATCACTACTAAACTTTACATTATATGCACGTAAGCACGCACGCACGCACGCAAAAAAAAACTAAACTAAAAATACACCTTTTAATACTGTAATTTTATTGGAAAAATACAAAACATAACAATTATTTCTTTTACACACTATTTATTTACATTAAGGGTTTTTTTTTTCTTATAGCGGCAATTTTTCTCTGTTAATCAGAAAATGTTTTTGACAACTTATCTACTAATATCCGTGTTCTCTCTGATAAATATTGATCAATTTGTCCAAGTACCTTAACAACGTGCAACATCTTCTGTACGCCTTTTTTAAACATCTCCATTCTCTCAGCACTTGATTCCTCTTCAGCATTACCTTGTTTAAACACAGTAAATGACATCGGAGCCCCTACTGATGGGGCTGATATAGGTACACGTAATGAAGGTTTCAATTTTGGAACGCTAATTTTTGGAATCCTTAACTTTGGAGCCTTCAATCCATGTGTAGCTAATCTTGGTACAAAGCCCCTTGGCGGTGACATTGCAACTGGTACTTGAGAGTCGGCGTAAACAGCCTGGTCATACTCTGGTTCAATTAAAACAAATCTTCCATCCTTTACCGCTTTGGGGATTGCTCGATGAATCATACTGCAGAATGAATCAACGTCGAAGTTTGAAGTGTCGAATGAGTCGGAGGATGATGCCCTTGCCATTGGTAGATAGCCCTGGAATATTAATGATAAACTTTTAAGAATCGTGATATACAGAGTATTGTTAAAAAGTTAATTTAAAAGTAAAATTTTAATTTAAATTTTTAGTTTAATTTGTAAGTAGAGAACGCTGCTCTCAAAAACAAGCGCACAACAACTTTATTTGTAACACAGCCCTTATTTTAAATATTATGTAATAGTTACAGGAGTAAATCCTCAACAAGGAAAATCTGATATGTAACAGCGATGTTGGTTGTGGGAATCGTCCATCGAAATACCAAATTTTACTCAACCAGACAATTGCTAACTAATCTTATTTTCTCGGTCCCAGCTTTGGAATTAATATGATTAGGACAAAAGTTCTCAACATGGGCTGACATTGAAACAGGCGTGCTGCAAGGCGGAATACTTTCTCATATAACGTCTTTTATTTATAAATTCTATCAATTCATTTCTGAACTGTTCCTACAGATATTATGCAGATGATTTTCAACTCTATGTGCAATCTAGTGTTAGCCACCTTAAGGATAGTATCAATAAACTCAACCAATATCTTGATGTCGTAACAGATTGATCGTACAGACATAGTGTGTCGGTTTACGCTTCCAAATGTAAGGTAAAAGTAATAGGTAGTTAGTAGTAGAATGTTAGCTAAAATTGACAACGATAATCTTTCTCCCGTATATTACAATGGAATGTTGTTGCCATTTTATTACTCTTTCAAAAATCTTGTCTTACATATTGACTACCTTAGGCTGGTGAGGTCAATTTTCTGAAATAAACCTTAAAGGTACCAGCACCTTACGTTCTCTTTGTCATCTCACAAACTGTCAGCTTTTTTAAAGTAAGCTTCTTTTTTTAATAGGCTAGGATGACAAACGAGCACACAGTCCACCTGATGGTAAGTAATTGCTGTGGCCCATAGACATCTAGATCTATCCTCTATTACGAATCAAAATGCAGATGCGTTGTCATCCGTGAGGACTTAGGTGGAATGTCTCGTTTCCAAAAAGGGTCTCCGGTTCTCTACACTCACCATACGAAACACAGCAGCATTAAGCTACTATTTGACGCTGGTATTCTGTGAGAGCGTGGTCCTTCCCCGGTCGAGCCAACCCATTCGTGCTACAACTATACTACTAATATAACTGCAGCATGGCTCTACCACGTCAAAGCTGTAAGTAAGCTTCTACTTTTCTAGTCTCTGATATTGCCGATTATTGATTATGGAGATATGTGTTACCAACTATTATTTATACCCAGAACTATTTCAATATCTTCTCGATAAGTTGGAGCGCCCACTCAACAATTGCATTACATTCATTTTTGGCTTATATAATTCTAATTCAAATTCATTTATTCCAGACAACAAAAGTCCATGCTAAGCCAAAAACTAAGTGTTTAGTTAAGTGTTTACTTAAGTTAAATTATAGTATATTATATTTAGAATTAAAATTAAATTATATTATATCTAGAATTAAATTAAATCCAATTCAGAAAAAATAAATCCAAATTAAATTCTAATTTGCCATGTACCTAAGAGGCACTCCGTGCGGTCGACACCTAGAAGAACTATTATCCATGTGGCATGTTCCAGCCTGCAGATATTAAAATTTCAAAATAAAAAAATCTCAATTTATAGATCTCAATTAGCCTTTTCGACCTACGTTAATTAATTTATAAGCCCGTTTTTCGTTTTCCCAGGAAATATAGAAATTTTCAATTTTCCTCTACTTAAAATAGCCATATCTCTTTGAAAAATGATTATTTTTTACTCTACCAAGCTTGAAAAAGTTGCCCTTGCGCTAATTTAATTTTCCCGCGTGCTAATTCTTAGAAATATTCAATAATTATTTAATACAACATATTTATATAGTACGTGTTAATAGTCAACACGTACTATATAAAATTATATAGTACGTGTTGACTGGGCCTGTTTAAGCATACATACATTTTAAAAAAATGTAAATGTAAATATTTATTAATAAAATAGCTATGTTTTTTGGTTTATTTCTTTGTTGTGGAAAATTTTAATTATAAATTTACACATACACATCAAACTACCAAAGGCACATAATAATGAATCCAATAGTACTGAAAAACTTCCCGAAACAGTAATAACTTTTAAAGTCCTTCCGTGCGTGTAGCATCAGCTGATCTGCAGTTGATGATGTGAGTTTCAGCTTTATTCTGTCGCGCATGCGCAATGCGCAAATAATTGGCTTGGAAATGCCACGACGGTTTTTTATTGTTTACAATAATAATAATCGAATATTTTTAAGAATTAGCACGCGGGCAAATTAAATTAGGGCAAGGGCAATTTTTCCACGCTTGGTAGAGTAAAAAATATAATATATTTATAAATATAAATAGTCATATATTTTTCAAAAAGATATGACTATTTTAAGTAGAGGAAAATTGAAAATTTTATATCTGTTTTTCCTGGGAAAACGAAAAAACGGGCTTTTAAATTAATTAACGTAGGTCAAAAGGGCTAATTGAGATCTATAAAATGAGATTTTTTATTTTTTTATATTATCCGCAGTATGAATGATCGTTCGCACAAAGTGCCTTACAATAAGCGCATGCGGATCAAATTCTTCTTCTTACATTAAGTATAACTTTCAGTATCTGTATTCTACTCTCGATAAAGTTCCTCGTTCCCAAAATAGTCTCAAAATTCGTATTCCACCACATAAGAATGTTTTCTTTAATTCCTTTTTTATTCTGCGGTCCGTACTGCTCTAGAATGTCCTGCTTATTGATATTAAGAAAATTAAAAGTAAAAAAGTAAAGTTACAGCCTATATACGTCCCACTACTGGGCACAGGCCTCCGCTCATTTCTGAGAGGGTTTTAGGGCAAGGAATTGTCCGCCGCGCTGCCCCAATGCGTGTTGGCGAACTTCACATGTCTTCGAAATATTTTTTTCCTACTTCTCTGACATGCAGGTTTCCTCACGATGTTTTCCTTCACCGCCGAGCACGTGGTAAACCTGCACTTAAAATTGCAATTAACAATTTCATTGGTGCCGGCGGGGATCGAACCCGGTTTGCTCGCGTACTGTGAAATTTACAGCGAGCGCTAACCACCTGAGCTACCACGGCTCCTTAAGGAAATTAGTGTAAAGAATTCCTTTAAAAGACTAGTTCGAGAATTCTATCATAAGAATAATACCATCTGATTTATCCGACTTTTGTTTTCCTCTCTCTATCGCTTTATGGGTGATATGTTGTAGAGGTATAATATGTATCTTAATAATATGTACGATGTTATTTTAATTTGTTGATAAATTACCATTTAATTTATTTAAAGATTTGTATACCCGTTTGTATATTTATTATTCTTTTTAATATATTGTAGATGTATTAAGTATGTATATTTTTACCAAATTTGTTCTATTTATCTGTATTTTTGTACCTTATATATTTATTACTTATTTATTAAATTTATGTAGTGATTGTTACACCTGACACAGTTTTTCAAAACATCCAGGGTTGACTAGTAGAGAATGCAAAAAGGCATGAAGATCGCCTTTTAAGTACCTTATTTTTAAGTGTGTGCGGCGTCTGTCCTATGCTGTACGTATTGCTGTAAGTACAAACTGTTTGGTTAGAATTCGTGGAATATTTAACAACAAAGTGGTTAAGACCTGCCGACCGCCTCATTATCCGTTGGTGGAAAGGAGAGGGAGGAATCAAAGCATGTGATTTCTGCGCACACTCTCCGGAACCCTCTCATAAATGAGCGGAGGCCTGTACCCAGGAGTGGGACGTATATAGGCTGTAACTTTAACTTTTTTTAACTCCCGAAATGCATCCTATAAAATACCGACAAAATTGGTTTCAACCAAATAAAGGTTACTAATAAGCCTTTTAGCTCATCTATCCACTGAGGCTAACGCAGCTAGGTAGCATTTTGCAGCACCAGCCCATATGTGACAGCATTACTCCATGCTGCCAAGCTGTCTCGGCGTAAACCTCCTTGCGATAACTTAGGACTCAATGAACCGCCCATAGATGAGGTTCGGAGAAATCTCAACCCCTAACAACTGGTGTTCAAAGTACTCGAATACATTGTCATATAAGAGTACTACACTGCTGAACATCTTCCTCTTTATAGCCAATGCGTTTTAAAGATGGGGAATTAATTGGTAGCTCATCATTTATCTATGGTAAAAACCACACCACATTGGTATTATCAAATACCAATGTGGTAGAGCCATGCTGCAGCTATAATATGGTTGCAGCAAAAATGGGTTGCTTCGACCGGGGTGGAAACCGTTCTCACAGAATATCAGCGTAAAATAGCACCTTCAGGCTGCTGTGTTTCGTATGGTTCTTCTTCTCAGTCGATACGCTCTTGACAGAGCGGTCGTGGTCGTCACTTGGGTGTTGTGGCACGCTCTACAATACGCCTCCACTCCTCCCTAACAGCTGCCTTTCTTGTGCACTCATGCAACGGGACATCCACCGCAGCCCTCACCTGGTCTGTCAATCTCATAGGCGATCTGCCACGCGCTCTAGTGCCCTCTACTCTTCCCTGGACCACTAGACGTTCAATCGAGATATCATTACGTCTAGACACGTGACCAAAGAAAGTGGGTATGCGAGCTTGCACAATAGATGACAGACGTTGCTTGATGCGGAGTTCTTCGAGAATGGACTTATTGGTCCGAAATTCGGTCCAGGACACTCTCAGCATTCTTCTCCAGCACCACATCTCGAGAGCGTCTATTCTCTTCTTCTCACTTTCTCGCAAGGTCCATGTTTCCGAAGCGTAGAGGAATATGGGGAACACAAGCGCTCTAACTAACCGGGTCTTAGTGGCTTTTGTTATGTTACGGTTCCTCCATATCTTCCGCAACTTATTCGTATGGTTAGTGTAGAGCAAAGACATTTAAGTAGTTGTAATAATAGACCGGACATCAGCAACAAAATTGTCGTCTGTAACTTTTGTCCTATAGGATATATCTCCTATTTTTGTTATTTAGTGTTAGTGACA